TTATATCTACTGTATTTATTTATATTTATTTATATCTACTGTATTTAAGGAGCTTTCTCTGCTTCAACGTGTTTGTGAGAGGAAGACAGAAGTTTATGTAAAATGTATTTAGTTGCTAGATAACAAAAGAAGAACACATTCATGGACAAAATGCAACATAAACATGTTTCATTGTCTTTAATGTAAATAAATAAGAGTAACTGTCTCAGAGACGTGTTGGTGTCTCTCGTTTACTTCCTCTCCAGGGAATCTTAGTCACCATCTTAGGTGACATTTAAAAACTCCAAAAACTAGTAAATATCTAAGATCGACCCTTCAAAGAAGGAAACATGATGAGGAAGGGCTTGGGTAACGGACGCTAAAACATAATTAACTCTAAACAGGAATTGAATACAGGCCGTAGCAGGAAGCTGCAGAGTGATATAAATATGAAGATAACAGCCTCGCCCTTTACTCTGATCTGTGAACACTAATGTGAAACATGCTGAATGTTTCTACTTACTCCGCTGCTTTTTTCTGGCACAACTCTGGCGTCCATTTCCCACAACGGTCTTCCATCTGAGGGGAGAAAACGCGTTACGTTCAAAACAACGTCTGACAAAACGTAACGTAGACGCGTTTCAAAGTGCAGTAAGTGAAGGTGGAGCCATCTCACCGGCTCCTTTCTCCATGAACACCACCCTGGACTGTGTGGAGATGTTGGAGCCGCTGATGAGCAGCTCCTCTCCTCCGTCCACACAGCAGCTGGATGGACTGAAGCTCTCCACCAGAGGAAGATCCTGACCGGAGCGCTGGGCTGCAAACACCACGCGGTACTTCAGTACATGTACTACAGCACCAGCACATGTACTTTGAGAGGGAAAGGAAGTGTTGACTGAACCCTCACTGATTATGATCTTGTAGTTTAGCACAAGCATGAATTTGCCTCCTCTGCTTCTTTCACAATGAATGAAATGAACCTTTGTGCCGTCGACCTCACTGGAAGTCACTCTAAATCTCACGTAAATGTGATGCCTTCACATCAAAAGGCCGACTCACAGCACTCCACCGGATTGGACGTCGTCTGCAGCCATAGCATGCGGCCGTCCTGCTGTGGGAGGGCGACCCTGAACACAACACGGACCCTCGTGTTCTTCCTCCCGATGTCCATCTCCCCTTTCTTCAGCTCGATGTCGGCGTTACGCAGCTTCAAGATGCCGGCGCAGTCGATGCTGAGGAGCAGAAGATACACAGAAAGACCGCTGGTTGGTAACAAGATGCACCAGCAGAACAAAACACGGTGAACCCCTCTGTTACCTGGCAGCCATGTTGTTATCTGGAAGCAGAGGGACCTCCAGGATCTTGGTGCCGCCCATGATCTTCTCGTGGCAGGTGGTGGTGACCGTCTTCCCCGTCACGCGGTGGACCTGGTAGAAGGGATGAGGCCGGAGGTAGCGGTCGTCCGCCGTGCCGATGAACAGCACCATGCTGAGCGGCTGCTCGCCGGACCCACTCAACTGGAAGAGACACAAAGAGACAAAGACACAAAGATTCACGTCTGATGAAGAGCTGCACAACATCTCACAGACATGTGAAGCATCTTCACCACCAGAAACACTACTACTAATACAGTTTAATGTCAAATAATATTAATAATGAAATCAGTCCAATTTGGACTAAACTCGGAGTGAAGTTGGCAGCATGTCCTAGTGTTAAGTATATATTATGTATATACTGTATATACTGTATAAATATATTATATAATATATATAATTAAGAGTCCAACATGTTGGGTGAGAAGGGAAGATCAACATTTACTTCATAATTAGAAGTTAAAGAGAGTCAGGCTAGCTTAGCTCAATGCTAATAGTGAGGAGAGACATGTTTACTGAAATAAACATTTCTTTGTTTTTGCTTTATAAAAAAAGCCCAATAAATATTACTGAACAATGACAATAAAAAAAGTAAATAATGAGAAACAAACAAATTAAAAATAAAAATAAATAATAACAGATAATAAATAGAAAATAATAAATGATAATAAGATAGTAAATACTAATAAAATAAATATAAATGAAACAAATAAACATAAATTACTACACAACAAAAGCCTCTTTATTAATCGGAACACATGTAAAACATGTGTTCCATCCCTCTGGTCACATGACAGCAGGAAGCTGCTGTGGCCTCAGAATGTGACACCAGAATAGACCTGCTGGTGTCCGTTACATACGAGGCCTTGATGGAGCTTTACTTCGCCTCCTCTGATCCATGAGCTCAGCTGCTCGCTGACGCGTCACCGGAGGACCCGAGAACCTTTAGATCCACAAACCGACCGAAGCTGGTGACACTCGGTGTTTCAGAGCCTTTAAATGTTGCTTTGGTCTCTAAACCCAGAAAGCCTCTCGATTACATGCAATACAAACCTGAGAGACGTAGAACATCCTCAAGATAATGTCTGACTTACTTTATTAATAACGCAAATGATTCATGATTATCTAAAGTGTTGTCGGTTAGTTTCAGAAAGTACCAGATAAAGTCATGGACCCCATTATGGGTTCATTACAGGTCAACCAAGTTATGACTCATTTGAAGAGATTGCTCATGTTTTGTGTAAATACTTCATATCTTGAAGCCTCCATCATGTCTTGACGTCGTGTGTTGCCCTTTAATGTGTGTGTCCTAAATAAATGACCCGTCTGTGAGAGAACCGTCACGTTCACTGATTAAAGCCTCTCGCTTTATAACACCACAACAAGTCAGTTACAAGCAGAGCGAGTGCAGGAACGTAATCAATGTGAGTGTAAAGAGACAAGTGTGTGTGTGTGTGTGTGTGTGTGTGTCTTACTTTGACGAGAGGATGTCCTACAGTAGCTGCCTTGATGGAGCCCCTGCTGCCCTCCGTCTCATAGTGAGCCCTGTGGTACGATCTGGGCTGGACCTCCACCTTCAGCTCACACTGGTCGTACTGGTTGGGCAGAGGCCAGTCCAGAGGAGGGGGGGACGAGGTCCTGGAGGCAACAGACACATAAAGAGTAAAGTAGTGGATCCTTAAAGTACTGGGTCCTTAAATTACTGGATCTCTGAGGCTTGTAACTGCAGTCAGAGGACAGGAAGTTAGAAAGGAGACATTTTCAACAACATTTTGGTAAAAATACACTTGAGTTACACGAGAAGATTTGATATCACTCATGTTTGTGAGATAAATATGAAGCCGGGTTTTGTTTCCTTCGGACAGAGCCAGGCTATCTGTTTCCCCCTGTTTCCAGTCTTTGTGCTAAGCTAAGCTAAGTTAAGCTAAGCTAAGCAGCAGCTGGCTGTAGCTCTATACTTAACCATTAGATAGAAGAGGGGTGTCAATCTTCTCATGTCATTTAGAATGTTCTCACTCTACTTTCTTTGTATTGTTTCAGCACTAAATTCATTACTTACATGATAACAAAATCAGAGAACTAGCATGTGTGAAAGTAATAATAGCGGTTTGAAGATAAACCAACCTGAACAGAGGAGGGTTCCCCGGTTTGGGTTTGTTCCAGCTGAAGTGGGACGGCACCTGAAGGAAGAGATCCTCCAGGACATCCTGTTCATGTCCCTCCTCGCCGGGAGAGTCCAGGAAGGGCTCCAGCCCCGGGTCTCCCTGACCGGCCAGGAGGCCCAGCTGGATCCCCGACGTCCTCCTGGTCTTGGATGGGACGTCCAGCTCCTGGTAGCCGGACATCAGGAGGGGCCCCAGGGCACCGGGGCTTCCCACCACGCAGGTGTCGTCAGTCATGCTGCCCCGCGGAGAGGCGCCCGGGGTGGGGCTGGGGGAGTGGTGAGGCGAGGGCGAGCGGGTGTGGGGGCGGTCGGCGCTGGAGTGGCGTCTCTTACCGCAGGGGGACGTCGGTCTGGACGACGGCCTGAGGAAGAGGTTTGGTCAGGATTAGCAGGGTTTACTAGCATGAAGAAGAAAAGAGATCTTTGACCGAGTGAAATAAATAAAGGTACTAATCAGACGTTAGTGGACCTGGAGGACATACCTGGAGGTGGGCCGGCGGTTCAGCCAGCTCTCCTCAGTGACGCTGGTGCGAGGGGAGTGGCAGGGCGACTGTTGGGGCGACAGCGCCGGACTGAAGGCTGAAGGATGTTGGTATTTTTGTTGCCACAGCTCCACCCCGAAGGCCCCGCCCCCGCAGCCCGGGGACCCCAGGGGTGACCCGATGGGGGAACCGAGGGCGAGGCAGGCGGCGTCGCTCAGCTCCACCTCCACGTCGTCGTAGACGTGGGAGAAGGACTCGCAGGAGGAGAGGTCGGACATCCAGCTCCTGGAGGACAGGCTGCTGCAGGGGCTCGGGCAGAGCGCCGGGTCCCGGTAGCAAGGGACCAGGGGCAGGTAGAGCTGGCCTCTGGACCAGGACCCCTCGGGGTAACCCCCTTCAGCACCACCCACCGCCAAAGCTCCCTGGTTACTGACCGGCTCCACATGGTTGTTGGGTGCGATGGAGGTGATCTGGATACTCGGGCAGTCAAAGGTTCTGGGGTTCCCCAGGGCGCCGTACTGGGGCCCCTGAGACTGGTAATGGTCATTATACTGGTAGGGGAAACTTTGCAGCTCCTGGCTGACTAGCTGCTCGGCCAGAGCCTGAGTGGAGGAGGGAGGAGTCCTCACATTGAGGTCTGGACCTGAGAGGAGGAGATGAACCAACGTGTAAATCAGACATGTGATCATTTGCATTGGAAACACGCTTGTTTTGTTTTTCTTCTTTATTGACGAGCAGCTAACACATCATCCATCATCTGAACACGAGCAGCAGGCCGACACCCTAAAACCTTCATGCAATAAAAAGGAACTAATTCACACAGCAAATGCTAAATATTGAATATGTTGCTGTTGTTTAGGTCAACATCTACAGCATCAGTTTACAGTTCAGTTCCTTCAGGTACAACTTGTTGAATAAAGTTTGTCAACAGGCAGAACTCAGCAGAGAGACAAGTATAGATATGTAGTATTAAGTATTAATATCGCTGTGAACTGAATATATTAACATAAGTTTTGGACTGTTGGTCGGACAAAACAAGACATTTGAACTGAGTGACGTCAGAGATTGTTTATGACAATAATATTTATTTCATTTATTCAGATTAACTGCTGATAAAAATGAGTTGCAGCTCCTGTTAACACTTCGTCTCTACCTATGTGACGTAGTTCACACCTGTGGACGTCTGGTGTCACATGTTCACTCCAGACTTCTTATCTACAGCTCAGTGAATTCATTCACACAGCTGCTGCACCACACACACACACACACACACTCACACGTCTATTATTACTCTCTCTGTCGCTCCGACACACCTGATGGGTTACATGCAAATACATAAAAATGTAAAAAGGCGTCAAAGTGACAACGGTGATCTGCTTCAGTGGCTCCACTCACTGCTTCTTTTGCATGAAACCCTCAAAGAGAGGGGGGGGGGGATGCCCGCTGCCAGCTGGCTGCCACAGAGCGGTTAGAAAACCAGGAAGTAAAACCTGCAGCAAGACAGGCGACACGCTGTCTGAAACACAGTCACACAACATACATCTGATGTGTCTGTCTGCCTCTCTCTCTCTATCTATCCATCTCTGTCTGTCTTTCTGTATGTCTCAAATACTGCTGCAACCGTTCTGTTAGTCTAGAATCCTGTTTATGAGGAGAAACGAGGAATATTCACTGAACTCAACGACGGCTGCAGAGGACTATCTAGAGAAAAAAAGACAAATGAGCCGCACGATTTAACAAAAAGCTAACGGTGAATTCCTCAAACGTCTTTCAGACATTCAGTTGAAAAGCATTAAATTCTTCCTGTTAACAAACTGGAACTTAAGATTTTTTTGCCATATTTAGCTGCGAGAGCAGTGTTTCCTCACTTTGGTCCAGACTGAAACATCTGGTCATAGCGCCACCATCAGGTCAACATGTAAATGTGTCTAACACTTTAGTTCATGACCACAAACCTGCAGAACTAAACACCTTCAATCAGCCTCAGCTGTATATTCGCTAATGTTAGCATGCTAAGTTGCCAACACCAGCTAAACGTTAGCATGTTAGCATGTAGCTCAACACCACTGTGCTAAAGTACAGAGCTGCTAGCGTGACTGTAGACGCTAAGTGTTGTTGCTTAATAAAGTATTTTAATTATTAATCGGTTAATTGACCAAAAACATTTATTGATCAACAAATTATTAACAACTTTTCAGTTTTGATTCCTTAAAAAAAAAATCAGCAAATGATGTTGTTGATGTGAATTTATCTCTTTTTCTCAGACATTTTATGAATCAAACAATTGGTAAATTAACTAAAAACATATAATGTGAATCATAAGAAATCAAATAATCAAAGTGAAGAACAGACTATAGTGAGTAGAGCTGCAGCGATTAATCGATTAGTTGTGAACTCGCAGATTATTTGCCCCGATTCTGATACTCTGTAAATAGTTTGAGTCGTTTTAGTTTTTTAAATGTGAATATTTTCCTCCTCTGTGACAGTAAATTAATATATTTGAGTTGTGAACACAGAAAGACATTTCATGACGTCATCTTGGGCTTTCCCCCCCATTTTTCTGCCATTTTATGAACAAACAACGAATCAATTAATCAAAAATAATTGTGAGTTTAATGAACAATAAAAAACAATCATCAGTTGCAGCGCTCACAGTGAGGACTAAATAATAACTCATATTTAGTATAATTTAACTTCTTATAATATGAAGGTGTAGTGAGTTAAATCCTAAAATATAAGCGTTAACCGCGATATAAAACAATAATCAATGTAAAGAGTCTCCGTAGCTTTCACTGGTTTATTTTTATAAACAACTAAATTTAACAGCCGACAGCTGGAGGTGTCACATCCACTAAAGTCAGACAGCACAACTTCCGGTTTTCAAAGTAAAAGCCCGTGCTCTAACAACCCAACAGGGAAAGTGTTCTCTTCTACACATCTGATATAAACATGTAACATTATTACATATTACATAATAATTCAGGTCCAGGTGATGAGATGGCTGACTGTTTTTATAATATCTAACATGTAACAGTCTAATAATAAATAATATGAAAACATTATTGTTACTAGGCTCTAAGACATAAATATAAACATAAATATACAAACTACATTAATCAAGCTTGATGCTATTTATTAGGCGTTTCAATCATAACTTCTCATATTTGATATAGCATTATTGTTTTATATTTTACTGAATCCTTAAATTATTACCTCTGAATTATATAGAGCTGCTCGATCACACTACTGTACATGCACTCACATAAACACACATTCATGTGCATAATAAATACAGAGAAGTAGTCCTTAATATAAAAGTATGAGGCTCTCTCCATCAATACTCATTATGTTTATTTTATGTCACGTAAGAATAAAAACACTATCATTTAAATATAAAATAGTGCAAGTTAGAATAAGATAATAAAATATATAAAAATATAACTTTAAAGTTATATGAATCAAGTTGCACAGTAAAATAAATAGTCCATTCAAAAATGTAATGTCAGCTATTAAAAATAATAAGAAATGTCATATAAAAGATGGTTTAGTGACTTAACTAATCTTAAATTATGTTTCCGGAACTGTTGGCAGACTGTTTTATTCCGACGGCCACATAACTTCCGGTGTAACGCTCGCTAGTTCCCACCAGCTTCACGCTTCGTGTTGACAATTTAATTAACTAACGTCGCCAAAATGAACTGACCCGTACCTGTCGCCGTCCGTCTGGCGTCCTCCTCGAAGACGAGCCTGAAGTCCAGCTCCTCCGCGCAGTTTGCTGAGGACATTGAACCGGAAGACACGCAGAGCGTCCACAGAGAGACAGCCGTTAAAACGACCTGTCTGTCTGTTAAAAGTGACCCGTCTCACTCACTTCCATCAGAACTCCGACAAACAACAATAAAACACGTCGACTAATTTATAACTAATTTCCCCCTCGACTAAAAGTTGTTAACCGGTAATCGACTCGATCAATAAGTAATGTATCGTACTCTGAAGTGTGAAAACCGGAAAAAGTCCCATTGTTGTGTAAACTTGTTGTTCTTCTTCGGTGGTTTCTGGTTAGAGAGTTTTTCTTTACTCTCCTCCAGGTTGATCCCTGTGATGCATTCACGGTCTACTCGGAAAAAGTCGGTACGTTACCATTTCTAGCGATGTAAGGACATTATATAAAGAGAAATAATATATATAATATATATA